CCACTTTTTGTGCAGTACAAGTCAAGGGGGAAAAATTAAAGTGCTAGCAGGATCCTATAGTTAAATGTATAATATGTATGTTATAAAAAAGACCATATATATTTTTAGACCCTGCTTTAAATGTTCACTTTTTAAGTTTACAATTGTAACATACCATGTCATAACATTTTGATCTGAACAAAATAATTACATACGCTTAATATCAATGAAAAATAAAGTGCTTTAATGAAAAATAAAACACACCTTTTATTTAACAAAGCTTTTAAATATCAGTGCACCTTAAACCAAGAGGCATAAGTTGTATATTACTTGTATATTAATTTACATAAAAGTCAACATAAAATTTAAAGATATTACGTAACAATGTAAAAATAAAATCAATATTTAAAACTGTGTTTGGAGAATGTTCACTAATAACCAACAGTAACATTATAAACTTTTTTTTGACGTTTTAGGTCAACATTATTAAAAAATTGTTTTAAACAAAACATTGTTATTTATTAAAGGGATAGTTCACCCAAAAATGAAAATTGTCGTCATTCTTTAGGCTGATTGGCTGAACTAACTATACGAACAGGGAAAACAGTGGTAGATGGACCTCTCAACCTTACACTAAGGTTAAAATCCAACTCATCTCGGGGAACCACCCTGGTAGCTAGTTCCTAAAACCAAATTCCTATAACTACCCAGTGCAACAGGGGCTAATGTCACCCTCAGGGTCCACAGTCCATAGTCCGCCCGCACCCACACCCACACCCGCACTCGCCCATTGTCCTAATGCACGGTGAGGAGGAGAGTTTGAGTGGCCGAACACTCTCCAAGGATCACAGCTGGAGAATTGCAGAGATGAGTTGAATCTTGGGGTCAGAAAGCCTAAAAAAAATATATCAAACAGCCCCTACATCACCACATGTTGTTCAAATGGGTTTCAAGAAAGAAAAAAAAACTCCTCGCTCATCCAAAAACAAACTCCAGCATATTCAGTTGTCAGACACGACTGGAACTTCAAATGGGACTGGATATTCAGTTGTCAGACACGACTGGAACTTCAAATGGCACTGGCTTCTATGGTCAGATGAAACATAAAAAAGAGCTTTCTGACAGCAAACCCACCAGATGGGTTCGGTGCAAACAGGGATAAAAAGTACCCCATGCTCATGGTTAAATATACTGCTCGATCTTCAATGTTGTGGGCCTATTTTTCTGCCAGAGGTCCTGGAAGTCTTGTTCAGATACATGGCATCATGGATTCTATCAAATACCAACAGATAAAAAAATCTAAACCTGACTGCCAATGTAAGACATTTTTTAATGGACCATGTTTGGATCTTCCATCAAGTCAATGATAACAAAAATAAAAAAAAACATCAAAATCAACACAAAAATGTGTCACTGAGCACAAGATGAAGCTTCTGCCATGGCTGTCTCAGTTCTCTGACCTGAACCCTATAGACAATGAGTGGGGTGAACTGAAGAGAAGAAGCACCAACATGGAGCTGGTATTCTGAAGGATCTGGAGAGATTCTGGATGAAGGAATGGTCTCTGATCTCTTATCAGGTGTTCTCCAAAATCATCAGGCATTATAAGAGAAAACTCAGAACTGTTATCTTGGGAAAAGGACATTGCAATAATTGATCTATCGGTAAGCCCCGCCCCCCTTAGTTACTGTTGCTCCCTCAGACAAACAAACAAAGTGGCTCATTGTCTTACAATGACAGCTGTCAATGCTGTCAAACCTTGTCCCACAATGTTTTTGAACAATTTTGGACACAGAAGGGCTACCATTCAAGTGGGAATTAAATATTCCATGGAGGGATATATAAAATATTTTAAAATAAATACGGTGGGTAACTCGAAGCGAGGGTTTACAGATCACAATGCAAGCGGGAGAAGTCTCATATTACGGTCGTCACGATTGTGGATAACAACATGCAGGATCAACACTGTTTTGTGTATCACAGTATGTTTAAATTCATGTACATTTAACCAGTTTAATATGGAGAGGCACTGAAATGTAGACCTTCGTTTATGTGTTTTTGACCTACACTGTACATGATGTGAGAGCAGTTCTCTATTTAGGTTTGTAATAGCATGGACTAACTTTAACTTTAGGTAGTTTTAGCCTTGCTGAAATCCAAGATGACATTAATGTTCTGCTTGAGCAGCTGAAAACTGTAACTGTAATGTTTTCATCTTCATTGGGATTGGGGTTGAATGCTTAGGGACATTTTGCTCTGTTTTGTTTGGGTTTAAGAAATTTAATAAAATAAATTCTATTGCCCATCCTCTCAGGATACCTGGAATCAGTGTTACAAGTACCCCAGGCACATAGTTTTTCCATTTTTGTAGCATAAACACCATCAAACCGATGAGCGCTTCAGATCTTCCAATGTTTCTCTATGGCGCTGAAACCTACAGATGTCCGAGTTCTGATCCCCATGCAACTGATACTCGACGGCCACTGGCTCATCTGCGTTCGAGGGGAAGGGCTTACCGATAGGCCAATTGGGTGCCAATAATTGTGGCTAACGTGAACTAGAGAAAAACATTTATATCATAATGAGATTTTCCCCACACTTTCCATTGTTTTACTTCAATGAAAGGTTAGAATTTTGTAAATATTTTGAATGAAAGATCACCAAGGGTGCCAACATTAGTGGGTGGCACTTTTTTTTGTCTGATTGTTTACTATATTTATTTGTTTGGCCAGTGTAGTTGTCGGTTTTGGTTCTTTAGCTGTTTTAGGCTGTAAGGACCTTTGAAATAACTCAAATCATTTGGCGAAGTGATATGGACATGTACTGTAATGCGGTCAAGACCTGCCTGGAACTACGTTCGCCGTGCGTTTCCCTGAAAATAATTGCACACCTTAGAATGTTCATCAGCCAATCAGATTCAAGCATTCAATGGCCCCGTAGTATAAATTTTAATGGATTAATGGCTGCTGAAAATTCAGATTTAACATCATAGGATTTTTTAAAAATATATTAAAATAGGAAACAATTATTTTAAATTGTAATATTTCATTATGTTACAGTTTTACCTGTATTTTTAATGAAATCGGTGTAATTTTGGTAAAAATCCTACCGACCTTAAACTTTAAAGGTAGTGTATATTTTCTTAATTTTCTACGTGGCTGTGAAAAAAAAATCAGTATTTAATTTAATTTAGTAATTTATGACTCTTAATGCATTACTTCTACTTTCATCACATGCAATTATTCTGCATGCATTAATAGTAATATTGTGGTATTCTGCAGGTACAAAGTCAAAGCAAACTAATTTTATTAGGTATTTGTTAAGGACACAATGGCCCTACACAGATTTATTTGTTTTGAGGGAAGTGTGGGCATAATCTGGGGTCTATGGGGCGCTAGGTACACATTTTCAGCTGGGACACTACTTAGCAAGACTAAACTAACTTTCTTATTTGTTATGGACCTACAGAGCATGCTCATGGGGTATACTTTTGGCCCAGATACTGTGCCCCAGTGTGCACACATATGCCCATATTTGACCAGTGTGCTCACAGTGGGCCTCATTTACGAAATGAACATACACCAGAAAATTGGGCGTACGGTCATTTCTACACAAAACTTGGAATTTTTCAATATGGACGTGAGCGGTGACTCTGATCAATCTAAACTTTGAAACACATTAATTGCAGGTGCAAAAGTGATATGGAACCAACATCACTTCGTAACATTAATTCAATGCAGTTAGCATTGGCGCATCAACATTGACTTAACATTGTTTCAATTACTGTTTTAATGGGAGGTAGCATGAGCAGGTAGCACAACAGGTAAAAATCTCAAAAAGATACTCTTTTGATTAATAACTAGTGCCCAATCACATTACTAAGTAACGTGACTATAAAAGACTATAAAATTTGGAATCTGTCCTGGCAAAACGACTTAAATCTGGCTTTGGTGGTTTAATTGATGAGTGCCAATCAGGGTTTATGAAGGGTAAAGACACAATTAAAAAGTAGTTAAATTTTTGGCTAGCAGGAGATGTTTCTCCCTGGTCGAGTTTTATTATCAAAAGCAGAAGGTAAGAGTTTCTTGTATTGCCATAAGTCATCATATTTCTTACAAGATAAATTATTAGGCTATATAATTTCATGTGGAAAAATAAACCACACAAAATTAAAAAGGAGGTTCTAAGAAATAAGATAAATGGAGGTCTTGGTTTTGTTTACTTTACCCTATTTAACCAAGTGTTAATAGTAAATAAAAAAAAAAAAAAATCATTTTAAAAAACAGGTGGACTGAAACATGTTTCCTAATGTTGTTTTTAGGAAGATTGGAGGTATTGATTTCTTATTACAGTGCCTTTTCTTAATTGCTAAAATACCCATTAAATTATAAAAATTTCACCATCAGGTTTTATTAGTCTAACGGCTGGTATAACCTACAAGTGCTTTGGAAGAGGATTTGGGTTAGAGCTACAAACATGCAAGCCCGACAGTTAGGTAGAGATGCCCTGAGAGGACTTCTTAATCAATGTCTAACCCAGACAGCAACAAGTGTCGCGTGCCGCATGGATTTCACACGGGCCAGATGTGGCCCGGATCTGGGCCAACACTATGTTGCTGTCTGGGTAACCTATGAACAAATATTTAATTAATGTTATCTGTGTATTTAATTTAAAACAATTTATTGGGTAATATTAATTTAATTTAATTTATTGTGGAACGTATATATGATGAGGATGTTTGTGACAGGATGAATGACAGACTGGTTTGCAGTGATGGCACACTATGGCACAGAGCACACTGGTATTATATATATATAGTAAGTCCCAAATTTCGCCTACTCTTTGCTACAAAGTATGAACTCAAAGGTATATACTTTTAGTCACAAAAATATTACATATTTTAGGGCATATAGGCGAATTGGTACGCAGTTGCTATTTAGAAAAGGCTATGTTAACGACATAAAAAAAATAAATAAAAAAAACTACAATCCCCAGAGGTCACGTAACTTCCGCCATCTTGAGTAAGGCGGTCCACAGACAAGCAGACACTTACCACGTTTTGTTTAATGCTCGTCTGTGTATGCTGAGCTAGTAGTGGAGTGTGCAGTACATTTTACAGATCGACTGGTGTTTTACATTCCATCTGCTGGACGTGTTTAAAAGCAATGGCCGAACCGATACGTGCGTTGTGCGATGAGCTTATAAAGGCTGTGAATGTGATGATGGAGGCAGAATCAAGCCAAACATACCGCCTGGAGGCCCTAAAGGTGAACAATCGTCTAATTTCAAATACGATTAAAAGGCTATTATGAATGCATTGCTTCATAAATCCATAATATGTAGGTCACTTATGAATAACGTTTTTTTGGCAGCTCCAGTTAATCGTGCCTCCGTTTCATTGACGGTTTTTTTTTTCTTTCAAAAATTCATTCGCGCAAATCGTGATCTTAATAAGTTTTGATGTTCTCGTTTGTTGCCTTATCATACCAACCTTATCAATATCTATCAAAAAGCATGAAGAAGGTAGGAATAGGCGACATTTCTTTGAGTATCTAGCACACGTAAAATGTTGCATGCACATTTACATCCTCGTCTTTACAGATGCAGAGCATTCGGTACAGTATGCACAATGACACAAACAGTGCTTGTTAACAGACACTGAGGTGAGGTGTGCCACACAAATAGCCCTCTTCATGTGAAGCTCACGGGAGACGAGACTATTTCTAGCTGCTCATATCTGAAGTATGGAGCCCCTCACTGAGCAAAAAAATACAATAAAACTACAACCGCTAATATCTTCCCATGTGTTTGTAATCTGTAAATAAAATATGCACTGATGTCTCATATTTATTACAACCGATATGTTGCTGACTTATTTTAATTTTTTAAAACAATGCGCATATAAAATTGTCTCCCCCCATAATGTAAACTCAATTTCATATGACTGTACTAAGATTTTGTTAACAAAACAAATAATTTTAAGACTGTTCTGATCAGTCACATGAACTGCACATACTAAATTATGAATTGTGTAATGATGCAGTACAACTATATGCTGTAAATTTGTCTAATAGTTTTCCTTGTTGTAGTTTATTGAAGAGTTCAAAGAGAAAAGTCCCTTCTGTGTTGAATGTGGTCTTCAGTTAGCGGAGAAATCACAGACTGCAGTGGTCAGACACTTTGGGCTGCAGATACTGGAGCATGTAGTCAAGTAAGTGTTTTAAACCCTTTAGTGTGTACACCACAATGAATGCTGAGCATTAAGCTGAACACATTTTTTATGAACAGGTTTAAGTGGAATGACATGGCACCACAAGAAAAGCTCCAGCTGAAAAACTGCACTATGGGCCTGTTGTCAGGTGTAAGTATTTTGGAAGTGTATCTACTAAATCATCTTATTGTGTGGTTTATTGAAATCGCTTATTCATATTATGGCTTGATGTCCTGTTTTAGGGTACTCATCCAATTCTGCAAGAGGAATGTCATGTTAAGGATGCCCTCTCACGCATAGTTGTTGAGATGATCAAGAGAGAGTGGCCGCAGCACTGGCCTGACATGCTTAAGGAGATGGAGGCCCTTACTGCTATGGGGGTATCTCAAGATTTTTGGCTAACATAAAGGGTGATGTTGTAGGACTGGGGTGGTAGATCATGCTCCTGAAGATATGCCTTCATGTCAGAGTTTAGTTACAACCCTCCTCTTAATTAATGGGGTCATAGGATGCTACATGCACTTTTACAAGTTGTTTGAACTGAAATGTGTGTTGACAGTGTGTGTACACAACCACCTTATAATGATAAAAATCCACTGTTTTTTTTTTTAATCTACTCAAATTTTTACCCCTTTCTCAAATCGAGCCGATCTCAGATGCCTGTCTGTGTGACGTCACACAGACAGGCCCAACTGAAATGTGTGTTGGCAGTGTGTACACAACCACCCTATAATGATAAAAATCCACCCAGTGTTTTTTTTTAATCTGGTTAAATGTTTTTTTCTCGAACATTTAACCAGATAAATCTCAAATTGCCCTTTCTCAAATCGAGCCGATCTCAGATGCCTGTTTGTGTGACGTCACAAAAACAGGCCCCTCCCACGATAGTTTGATTGACAGTGGCGTTTCAGCACAGACTGGACTTGCATCTTACCTTAGACCCGCCCTGAGTGTGCTGTCATCAGTCCGCCATTGTTTCACCGCCGGAGCAGATGTAGACAAGAATGACTCCTAAGCGATTGAGGTGTTCTGTTGTTGGATGTAATAATGAACATAGCAGTCGTTATTTACTCCCGACATCGACGCAGTGGATTGTGTTTGTTTTTTGAAGGGAATGCGCCCCTGATCTACCTAAATGCGTCTATGTTCGCGCGAATCATTCGTGATCCAGCTTCACCTACAGAAGAAGTGAGTATAAGGTTTTTAATGAATCTTTGCAAATCGCCTTTCCTAATAATGTGCTAATTAGCAAATTTCACGATGAAAGTAAACAGTCCCTCAGAGAGCGGCTTGGAAGAGAGGGGTGGGGTCAGCAGAGCTCATTAACATTTAAAGGAAAATGCTACAAAACGGCTTGCTCTGAAAAGAGCTGTTTTTGACAGGGTAAAAAAGTTGTTTATAGAAATTATAATAATTATAATATAGAAATTTTAACCAAACTATGTTACAGACTTTTCATTAAGACCCTAAAGAATCATATCAACTTGTCGAAAATGGGCATCCGATGACCCCTTTAAAACCTCTACAATGCTGTTTTAAAAATTTTTTTTATTCTGGCTCGCTTAGGCCAGTGGTTTAAATTTTTATTTGCCCTGCCAACTATTTCACTGGCCCTACCACAAGAAAAAAAAAATGTTGTTGTCTTTGACCCATGCTATCTTGTATTCTAAGTAAGCTTATATGACACCAAAATTTTAGGTAGGCCTATCAGTTAAATATTACAATTCTTGATTCCAATTTCGATAACCCAGCAAAAGCAAAAACTACTAGCCTTATGAATATAAAGTTCAAGGATTTTTAAAGACAAGTGAAAAGTCAGTAAATAAGAACAAATGAACAAATTAAGAGCAATAGATAAATAAATAGACCAAATATACAAATTAAATAGTGCTTTGTTTTTAGGTCTGTAGGTGTTCAGGTACAGAAATTGAATAATCAAACGTAAAACAACAGCATATTCTTCACTGTATAAATTAAATGTAGATTAATAATTTTTACACCAACAGCAGCTGGTAAATTAGGTGCTGTCACTTTAGACAAAATGCATGGGACCAATACAATGATTCACTTCCGATTTCTTTCTCAACTGTTTACGTTCACTTAAGTCATAACCGACTGTTTTCGAGGATACTCGCCAAGTCGGGTATTTTGATATACTTTTGTACGTGTATGTCCGTATTGAAACTTGCATGTTGCCTGAGACATGGCTCTTTGTGTGCGCGCTGTGCTCATGGAACACTCTGAATAAATTTATTTACGTACTACTTGTGCTTGAATGCTTTGCAATTAATTTAATGTTCAAATTGGCAAGGTGTATTTGTCCATTAAAGCGCAAGAAGATGCAAAAGAGTATTTGGGCTTGCACTCTCTATGTGTGCGCTGTTCAGACAAAACACAGTGCGCAAGTACTGAACTTTCGTGATAACGTATCAGTGGCCTGATCAGGCCCAGTGACAAATCTGTCAACTGTCAACTTTTGGTCATAATAAAGTGCCCCTCCGATCCGAAGACAAAAATTGGGTATCAACATGGTGAATGTAGTACCTTTTGCATCACAATCCTACACTGGAAGAAATTGTTTGCATATGCGACAAAATTTTGCACTAGGCAACTAAATAATGTCCGCCGTTAGTCATTGGCTAATAAATTCTTAGATTTCACTTTCCACTGTTTGAGCTAGAGCCTAGTTATCCTTGTTCCAACTGTCCAGGTTTTATGATCATGACATCAGCTTTTTTTGCATTTTAGCATTGGTGTCTGTGATTTTCAGCAAGTGCAACTCTTTTATGGACATAGCTTTGTGAAGTTCTCTGTTTTTTTTAATGGAAACAAGGTGTTCAAGGTGAATATTGAGGTCTTGTCACTTTGTTGCAGTAGTTCTGTATTGTTTAGACACAGTTGTTCTTAGTGTTTGATGGTCACTATTAGGGCTGCATGATAAATCGAAATGACATGGCAGTCGCGACTAGGCAAAAGCTGCAATTATCATGCGCATCTTGTCAGTGAAGCACGGTTCTGTGTTCAGTAGTAAATCTCCATCCGAAGGCCAGAGGGCGCTCTCGTGCTGAAACTCCAAATACGCCCTGCAGAAGAAATCCAGGAAATCCCTATAGCGGTAGATTTAACTGCTTACATTGATTCAACATGACTAATAAATAGGGATGCACCGATACCACTTTTTCCAGTACTCGCCCGATACCGATACTTTTATTTTTGGTACTTGCCGAGTACCAGTACCGATACCGAGTACTGATACCAATATTTTATTGCATTTGTAAATTTTTTAAATATTGGGTACAGAAACAAAAAGAGTATGTATATTGTTAGTTGGTTGACTTCATTTATCAAATAGATAGTCAAACCTAAATGTATTCAGACACCTTCAACATTTCTCACATTATCACAGTTTATTCGCTATAGTTTAGAAAATGGTAATAAAATATAACAAGAATTTAGAGTTAAACTGAGTCAGAACAAATTCAGCTTGATAACGTTAGATAACTTTGATAGAAAGGTATGTAGCCTAATGGATTACAATCAACCAAAAAATTAGACAGCTTTGTTTGTATGACAATATTTACACAACTATCAATACTTAGTCGGGCAACCCTTAGCCTTAATGAAAGCATGTAGTCTCCTGGGCATGCTGTCATCCAGCTTCATGCAAACCTGAACTTCATTTTTTTTTT